CAGCTTTTGCTGTTACGAGATCCAGAGATTTACAGACAAGACTTTGAAATCCTTTGCTTGATACTAATCCTTTGGCTGCTGGACAGCAGGAAGTGGGATTGCAAAACAGACAGTAGAGCCCACAGGCTAACAAGCTGAGGTTTGCCATAGCAGGAAGAGAGTTTGTTTTGTTAACAGGGATGAGTGCCTAGCTCTTCAAAACCACGATGTTTTACATCACAAGAATTTATTTAGTCACGTTATGTCACTTTTTGGCCAAAGCCATTGCATTAATACATGAATGATTGTTTTGTCTCATAACTGTTCCATTATATACAAAGCTTTGAGCATAAATTTGTTCTGTACCTTTTCTTGTGTGCAGGCTGTGGACTACCACTGTTAGAATAAATACAGTTTTCTGAAGTGCAAGCTACATCTTTATAATTGAGTCTGTCTAACTGTTATTTTGAGGACTGGCTAGCACGTAGCTTTGAATTATGGAGGTGTTACTTTGCTGAAAAGAAATCTCTGAATGATGGCAGTTTAGAAATACTGCTTGACTTCTGCGACTTAAAGAGTGGAAAAACTGAACACTGAAATCTGCTGATCGGCCGGATTTAAGTACAGACTTTATTTCTTCTTCTGTCTGCAAATGATCCCTTAAGCAACTCAAGCCCCTCTGAAGCAACGTTTCAAATGACAAATATGATCAGTCACAGATGGGGGATGTGTATTACCAGAGGGGCTTTGTCGTTTTTAACAGGGAGGTGGGTAAGGGGCTTGTACCAGGCAGCAATGTTTAACGCTATTTTTCTGGCATACATTCATATGATACTCCATCTTGAGGGATACTCTTTTCCTGTCACCATTTATCGTGATAAAAGTGCAAAATCCCATTAAAAAATGAAGTAGTTGCAGTGATGGAATTTGACATAAACTTACAGCATAAAGAGATGTCAAAGGTCATCTTGACATGCTGCCTTTCGGTTTCTCATCATACATAGATACCCTGGTACATACAGTGATGTGCATAAGGTCTCTTGCTCATAAAGGTACTGTTGTCTGAAAGGGAAACAACTAGTTTACGCTTCCAGTATTTGCTGTGTTTTGTCAAGGGTAAACCAACTAACATTAAAAAAGTAAGGAGAAAGGTGAGGAATTGCTTTGCCCCAGTGTGTTGCTGTTTGGATCCTTCTTGCAGGAAAAAGAAGCGAAAAAGAAGCAAAATTGCACACTTGAAAAGCTTCGTTTGAAGGGATAGGAAAGGTCAGAAGTTACACATGAAAGGACAGTTAGGAATGAGAAGTGCTCCTTAAATATCTAATACTGCACTTCTAAAAAACAAATATTGTAGCTTGAAAATCTGTTGACTGCCATGATTATATGATTTGGTAAAGAATAACCTTTTGAGTATTATTGCAATCTGTATGGAAATGATTAACTAGACTACTAACTATGATTCTAAACAAGTTTAATTTCTCTGGATCCAGTTAGTGGAAATTATCTGATGTGAGAGAGATCAGTTGTTTTTCCTTCAAAAACTGAATATGTGGAAAAAACCTTGGCAAAATTACAATAGACTTCCTGAGCTAGGTGCATTCTTGCACTGCACCAAGTGCTAGGGCCTGCTCACATCAGGTCATTTTTTCTGGCAAGGACTTTATTGCACAATGATACCTCGTAAGTGTACCTTTTCACAGCAAGCTACCAAGGCATTGTAAAAAGTAGTAATAGTTTTCAAAGCTCATTTAGCTCTTCTGTACGGCTTGGAAAAATGTGAATGTCTTTGGCCTACTTTTCAATCTGGGTAAAGAGGTGGCTGATCTGATGTGATGGTGCAGGGAATTCTTAACTCATTTCTTAGTGGCTATGGCAAAGGTATGCAAGCCTCATTTTAAATATTGAGGTCATCGGCTAATATGTGTCAGGAAAGCATAGAGCTGTACCAAATACTCCTGTCAAGAGCACGTGCAGCAAAGCAAATCAGAATTGGAAATCAATTCCAATTGAAACTGACACAAGGAAAAATATGACGGTGATATATTCTGCTTTTGGTAATTCAGCTTTGGTAAAGAATTCTGGTCTGAAACTTAAACCAAATAATAAATAAAAACTTAATCTGATGAGAAGTGTAATGAAGCTACTTGCTCAAATAGAGCAGAGACCTCAGAAGAGGCACTGTATTGAGAAGCACTTTTTTTCTTAATGAAGATCAACTTATCTTCCTCGAGTGTTTCATTATTTTCTACTCATAGTCAGTATACTTAGGTTCCAAATCCAGTCCAACCAACCCTTGGATTTTCCAGCTTGTTTTACTACAACTGAAGTCTAACTATGTCAATGTAGAAACACCATCTCTTGGAGACTGTCATTGCTTTGGGATCTAGGAGCCTATCCTGAACGTATCAGATGATAAGAAATGTCACTAATATTCATTAGCAAC